CGCGTGCCCGAGCTCAACGTGCAGAACGGCGTGCTCAAGTCGCTGTCATTCCTGTTCGAGTACATCGGCGAGATGGGAAAGGACTACATCTACGCCGTCACGCCGCTGCTGGAGGACGCCCTCATGGACAGGTGAGCAGGACCAACTGGGCCGGGTCCAGGACCAGAACCAGAACCAGGACCAGAGGGTCTGGGTCCTCCAGGACCACATGGTCTATATGGTCTGGGTCCTCCAGGACCAGAACCAGGACCAGATGGTCAGGGTCCTCTAGGACCAGATGGTCTGGGTCCTCCAGGACCAGAACCAGGACCACATGGTCTATATGGTCTGGGTCCTCCAGGACCAGAACCAGGACCAGATGGTCAGGGTCCTCTAGGACCAGATGGTCTGGGTCCTCCAGGACCAGGACCAGAACCAGGACCACATGGTCTATATGGTATGGGTCCTCCAGGACCAGAGCCAGGACCAGGTGGTCTGGGTCCTCTAGGACCAGGTGGTCTGAATCTGCTGAAGGCTGAGCTGCACTAATACATATCAAACATTTAGTAGGACATGATATACTACATGTATGACATGTCATTCTACATGTATGACATACGTCCTATAACATGTATGACATGTCATACTATATATATATCATACTACATGTATGTCATGACATGCATGTAGTATGACATATGTCATGCATGTAGTATGACATGCCATATATGAAGTATAACATGCATGTAGTATGGCATATGTCATACATGTAGTATGACATACATGTTGTAGGACATGTCATACATGTTGTAGGACATTTCATACATGTTGTAGGAGGTATGACATACATGTTGTAGGACATATGTCATACATGTAGTATGACATACATGTTGTAGGACATGTCATACATGTTGTAGGACATTTCATACATGTTGTAGGAGGTATGAAATACATGTTGAAGGAGGTTTGACATACATGTTGAAGGAGGTATGACATACATGTAGTATGAGATACATGTTGTAGGACAAAAGTCATACATGTAGTATGACATACATGATATATGACGTGTCATATAAGTAGTATGACATACATGTTGTAGAACATACATCATACATGTAGTAAGACATACATGTCGTAGGACATGTCATACATGTTGTAGGACAAAAGTCATACATGTAGTATGACATACATGATATATGACGTGTCATATAAGTAGTATGACATACATGTTGTAGAACATATATCATACATGTAGCATGACATATGTGTTGTAGGACATATGTCATACATGCTGTACGACATACGTCATACATGCTGTACGACACACGTCATACATGTTGGACATACTTCATACATGTAGTATGACACATGTTGTATGACATGTCATACATTTTGTAGGAGGTATGAAATACATGTTGTAGGAGGTATGACATACATGTTGTAGGACATACGTCATACATGTAGTATGACACATGTTGTAGGAGGTATGATATACATGTAGTATGACATACATGTTGTATGACATATGTCATACATGTAGTATGACATACATGTTGTATGACATACATGTTGTATGACATATGTCATACATCTAGTATATCATGTCCTATTATACCCAGTTGGTCCTGCTCACCGGTCCATGAGGGCGTCCTCCAGCAGCGGCGTGACGGCGTAGATGTAGTCCTTTCCCATCTCGCCGATGTACTCGAACAGGAAGGACAGCGACTTGAGCACGCCGTTCTGCACGTTGAGCTCGGGCACGCG